CTGGAGCACTGGAGTTTGGATTCAGCCGCGGACGTTCCTGTGGCGCTGGATCTGGCTATGGCGGGAGACCACTCAGTATTCAAGATAGCTTTGGTCACCAATCAGTTATTCGAGCAACGTCTTCAACTTCCGTCCGTACCGCAGCCGCATGTCGACGTGTTGCGAGGAGCGTTGCGTTGGAGCTTGGTTAATAACGTAATTCTGCCTTACGAGGTTTCAAATCCTTTGCGTGTCGCTTTGTTGTCTTCTGGCGCGCGCGTGTTAAAAGGGAAGCCGGTAAAATTCAGTGATCCCTTGTCGCCTCAGTTTTACGACGGCGTAGATAAGCAGTTTACATCTGTAGATGCAGCAGTGTTGTCAATCACTGGCGCGTTGTTAGATTTGGCATTTCCAGCAGCGATTAAGTCTGTTAAGGGCTTTGTGGTTGCTAGAGTTCTTGTTGATCACATATCGGGTGCTGATGAAGCGCGCATGAAGTGGTTGCGCAGTCTGCAAGATAAGGATTGTTTGTTGATGTTGAGTTGTCCTTCTGTTGAGTCTGAGTATCAGTCTTTTATCTGGCTGATTGTGTTCACGAATCCGGCTATCAAGCGTGTGATTTTGAAGGATAACAGCTTAGCTGAGCACTTGCTTTGAAGGTGCGTACATGGATCTTTCCACGGGCATTCACCATCTCGGCTTCGCCCGCTGGGGGGGGGAGTCTGTCGTACACACGTGTTTTGTTCGGTGCTACAGTCATGTGACGCGACAGCTGTCACGACAATCTAGCGTCACGTTCATTTTACCGTCTTTTATAATCGTCTTAGGTTATAATCGGTGTGAATACGCGAATTTCGTGTATAATCGCGTAAGGTGTTTGGTTCTCATCTTACACTTCGCTGATGGACTTATGGACGAGACGAGAATGTACGCTCGTTTGCGTACGTTTATGTATTTTACCTGTGAATTGTCTATTTCTTGTGTGAATGTTCTGTCACACGGGTTATAAGGTGTTTCACTTTTGTCATATGTGGACTATACGTCGTGGTCGTACTCGAGGCTTATCTTTTGAGGGCCTCCTGTGATCGACAATGTGACTTCGGTATTTATAGCCGGCAGCGAGCTTGGAAAAGTCGCTTTACGGCTCTAAGCAGAACTACCTAATCAGATCGTTCATGATTGGAACATTGTAAAGTTCTCTGAGCTAGACAACAAGCCCTGTGCGGTCCTCCCTTCTCGTAAACCGCATAAGTAACTTCCTTTCACCAGCCGAACTCCTGTGTGGGCCAATCAACGCCCATATCCTTCACGCCGGGCAGACTCAGTCGGTAAGGTAAACCCCTATCGCTGTTGATTGATTGCCTGGAGGGAATCTTGGCCCCTTTCGCGGGTTGCTATTTGCTGCGTATTACGACTTGCCCGTTCGTGTGCCGTCTAGTCAGCATTCAAGCTACCTGCAGGACTTCGCCAAGCCACCCTGCATTCCATAGCCGTAAAGCCTAAATCAGGCTAGAAGACCAAGTAAGTTCGGTTTTGGGTTTACCTTAGGTGTTCTGTCGCCTAGGGGATATTCGGGTTGCTTTTCCCAGCACCCTTTTTGGTAGGTTAGGCAGGCTAGGTCACGCCAGCCGCAGCCGGTCAGCAGTGTTACGCACAGCTGCCCTACCATTCAGCAATTTCGGGCCATTTTCTACTGGGTCGATTTGCTTGTGTATTCGGTCACTTTTACAATCGATACTGTGTTACGCACAGCCGTCTGTCGAACACTCGATCCCGAATACTTTATACGATCTACTCGTTTTACCATCTAGGCTTGGTCAGCCCAGCCTAACATTTTTTTTTATACTATATATTCAGCTCACCTAAACAGCAGGTTCGAGCTCTTCTGTGCTTAACGAGCATTTCGCGTACCTCTGGCCGAATCCTACGGAGTCACAC